CAATTTAAAAAAAAAAAAAAAAAAAAAGAAAGAAAACCCAAAACAGTGCAATTAGAAATGAAAAAAAGCAGAATCACAACAGACTCGGCCAAAGTCCAGAAAATTACTAATACTTTGAGAACATGTACTGTAGTAAAATGGAGAATACAGAAGAAATAGATAGATTTCTAAATATATATGAACTACCACAGCTGAATCAAGAAGCTATAAAAACCCTGAATAATCCAATATCAGGCAATGAGATTAGAAGAAGTAATTAAAAGAAAAAAACTATCACATAAGAAAAGCTTAGGTCCTGATGGATTTAATGTGGAATTCTGTAAGAACTTTAGAAAAGCTCTAATGCCAATACTCCTCAATCTCTTTAATGAAATAAAAAAGGAAAGTCATTTCTGGAAGCACAATACATCTAAAAAGAAATCACATATTGAACATCAAAGGTAGAAAATAATATTTCATGCAACAGGAAAACTGGAATAGAATCCCAATTGTATAAGAAATAACACCAAAAATCAACATGTGCAATGCATATCAAATTAAAAAGCTTCAGGTCAACAAAGGAAACAATCAACAGAATGAAGAAACAATCTAAAGAACAGGATTTTGTTTTTTTGCCAGTTCAGAAAGAGGATTAATATCTAAAATATGAGCTGGGCCTGGTGGCCCACACCTTTAATCCCAGCACTTAGGAGGCTGAGGCAGGAGGATTGCTGTGAGTTCGAGCCAGCCTGGGCTACAAAGTCAATTTCAGGTCAGTCTCAACTACATAGTGAGACCCTGACTCAAAAAAAAAAATCTAAAATATGTTAATAGTTTAAAAAATTAGATCCCCCAAAATAAATTTCAAAATGGGTACCTGAAATGAACAGATACTTCTTAGAAGAAAAAATACAAATGGCCAATAAATTAATGAAAAAATGTTCAACACATCTGGCCAGTAGAGAAATAAAAAACTGAAAAACACTAAGATTCTATCTTCCTCCAGAAAGAAAGGTCATCACTAAGAGATCAAATAAATACTATTTAGGCTATAAGTGGAAAAGCAACCCTTCTACACTGTTGGTGGGAATGTAAACTAGTGCAACTATTATGGAAATCAGCATGGAGATTTCTCAAAAAACTAAAACAAGAAATTCCATTTGACCCAGCTATTTCCCTTAAAGACATCTTCCAAAAGCCTTAAAGACATGATATTCCACAGTACATTCACACCCGTGTCTATAGCAGCATAATTCTCAGTAGCTAAATCTTGGAAGGGGCCCCTGTGCCCACTAACAGATGAATGGATAAAAAGAATGTGCTATTCATGCACAATGGCGTAGTGCTCTGACGCAAAGAAGAATAAACGTGAGTCATTTGTAGGAAAATGGATACAACTTGAGACCATAATGTGGTGAAATTAATCAGACGTACAAGCTTAAATATCACATGGCTTCTCTCATATGAGAAATCTAAAGTAACAATAAAGAGCAACACAAAAGATAGATAACGGGAGATAGGAAGATAGATCCTTCTCAAATGTAAAGGGGACCAAAAGATGGAGGAGTGGGGCACAAGAGGAGAGAGGCAGGAATAACCGACTAAGATGTGCTGTGTACATGCGCCAACTCCCTGCGAGGAATGTGGAACGTGATCATTACGGACTACGAACACGTATTAAAAACATGTTGAAATGACTACAGATTAGTCACAAGAAAGCTTACATTTCAAAGTATAATATTATATTTATCCATAAAGCAAATAAATTAATAATTAATTTAATTAATTAATAATCAGTAATTTAAAAATGGTTAAAAATTGCCATGAACTGGACACTTTAAAAAGCACTAAAAACAGCAAAAGTGCCACATTAAAATTTTTGTGCAACAGAGCGAAGTAGTACATAGAGCCTTCCAAGTGTATGGCCTTCAATATAATTATTCTTTTAAAACACGACAACTGAAAACAAATGTTAAGCCTTCAAGTTAAAAGAATAAAAGAATTAGAGTAATATGAGGAAGTAACAAAAGAAATGACTTTATATAATCAGTGAACTACATTCTAATATACATGTAGAATGTATTTCTATAAGTTTCTAGAAAGAAATAGAAATAATTACAAAAATTTTTTTTAAAAACTAAAGAAGACAAACTTCCAGACAAGACTTGTAAAGAGGGACCAAAAAAGGAACAATGGTAAAAATAGAAAATGAAACAAGAATACAGCTCTACATGATTTTTTAAACCCTAAGAGAATAGCATGAATAAGTTCACTCCAAAAACAATAGGAAATTAAATAAAATTGAAAGATTTCAAGAAAAAAAAATAGCCAGAAGTGATTCAAGAAGAAACACAACCCGCCCGCCCCCGAAAAGTTGCTTCCTTGCCAAGAAGTTAAATCCAAGTGGTTAAAGGAGAGTTTCGTCACACGTTTCCAGCTCTTGCTCTGAAACCACTATAATCTTTTCATTTTCAACCCACCGACATCCAGCTACCGAGCATTCCCTTAACGGCTAAAATACCAATAAACTCCAATAGACATCACAGTTAGTGGGAAATGAGAGGCATAACGAAGACGCTGTCAAGACAAGGATGCTTGCTGGTCACCATTTCTACTCAATATTACATTACGGGTCATGGTCAGGACAGTTCAACCCTATGCAGCTGTTAAAAAGAACACTAAGGAAAAGCACAGGCTTGGGGTGGAGGCAACAGGGGACTCAGGCAGGTGAGCAGTGTCCCCTGGCCCTGTCACATCTTTTCCTACCTCTCCAGGGTGGCAAATTACCTTCAGATCGCTTGGCAGCCCTCACTGCCTGCCCACACTTTCCTCTCCTGTGTTTACTCTGCACCCCCGGCCTACTTCAGCAAGCCACATGGGCGGCAATTATTTGCTTACCTATGTGTACTTAACCCATGGCTAGCACAGAGTAGGGGTGCAGCCAGTGCCGCCTGGACAACACGCTTCTCCCGAGGCTACACACCCGGGACCCGGGGACTCAGCGGGTCGGAGAGGCGGGACACACCCTGAGGCCGCAGATCCC